GTGCCTTTTAAAAAAGTGGGCGGGACGCGGGAAAATGCATCAAAAAGCGGGGGTGTCCCACCAAAAGCGGGACGTCTGGTCACCTTACCCAATTACTGACCATATAACCAAGTTATCTCTGTTAGTCTTAGTAGATTTTTTAAATGTAAACTAAAATATTTACAGCATATTGCTATGGAACAAAATTGCATGTAATTGCATGATTCTAATCCCTAGTCTTTTGTAGCTTATAAAACAAAGAAACAATTTTTTTTCTAACTTATAATCTTGCAAATGTGAAGGTCTTCTAACTTTAAAGCATGATTTAGCCAGGCTTAATAGAATAAATCACAATTAGTTGGAGTCACACAAAAAAAACTAACCAACAAATAGACAACCATACTGTATATTAGATTAAAAACTACAGCCTTACTTACAATCGGAGTAAACCTACTGAATGCAACATATGTCAGGATAAGCCTGTCTCATTTAAAATTTCAATTTAAGTTTAAGTTCTTTAAGCATGATTATGTTTAAATCCGCCATTATGTGTTTAAGATGATTCAGTATTTTCTTTTAACTCTTGTCCTATGAGATTTCCAAGTACTCTATTTTAATTGGATAATTAAATCTAGGTTGTTAGGAAAGCAGCCTACATGGGCACATTTGTGGAAGACACAGAACACACATGATCAATGGTATGAGGACAATTCAACTGGACCACCCAGAATGATGTACAGGTAGTTATTTAAACGAAGAGCATGAAAGGATTTCTCCTGTTTGTCTCAGAAGAAGAATGAGCTCTGTGAAAGAACTCAACTATCCTCATCTCCTAATTCAGTACCAGAATGGATTTCTAATATCTAAGGTAAGGTAATATTAAGTTAAAACAAATAATGTATTTAAGAACCTAAATTAATCTATTAATGTTCAATATAGTCATTTAAGAAAAGGCACAGAATTGATGATTTAATGATGCAATCAATGAAAACATAATACCCATGAAATTTTTTCTCCCTCACTAATGTAATAGCTTTGATTTTAATTGAACAATTATTGATAGAATGTAGAAATGGACATCACTTGAAGAAATACCAGCATCAACATAATTGAAATCCATGATTTAAGAAAATCCATAATTTCTGATGGAGATGATATGGGGGAAGGGAAGAGGGAGGGTGGGAGGGGGAGAGAGAGAGACAGACAGACAGACAGACAGAGACAGAGATAGAGACAGAGACAGAGATAACAATTGAATAACTGTAGTTGAAAATGAAGCAAATAATAAATATGTTCCAGAACTGTGTTAATATAAAGAGTTTTGATTCTTGGATTAAGAACACCAAGTTCTTAGCTATCTGTAAAAAGGATCACAGATTTTTCCACAACTTTTCTTATTTATTTACATGTAGAAAATAGAATTACTTAGTATTCAACAGCTTGTGCCCTTGTCTTACACAGGGAAGTAGACAGGGGGGAAAGGAAGGAAGTGCATAATGTACTTGATATACTTTTACAAAACATTGAAAAAACGTGACCATCTTAAACATATGCTTTTCTAAAATTCTGCAGTCCAGTATCTTTATTTTTTTAAAGCATTTTGTAAAACATGTATAATAAAAGAAAATATTGGCATACATGTAGCTGATTATCTTACTGCTCTATTTCAAGAAAGAAAAAAATATTTCCCAGTGTGGGGGAAAAATCATATTTTGTTTGCAGTAGTGGTTTTAATATATTAAGATTTCTTTTTTAATGGCCTATAACAATGTCACAAAAGAAGCTTGGGCTCCATAGGGAAATCCCATTCGCCATTATCATTAAATGTAGTTTAAGATCTGATTGAAGGTCTGACATATTTTGCTGCTTTGAATTTAATTATCCTTCCTCCTCTTGCCTTATGGATTTAATCATTGCTTGCAAGCAGTATGTCCCTGTTTCCCATCCATGCTGTTATTTCTTCTTTTTCCCCACTTTGAGGTGATGTTTACTGCCTGTGAGTTGGGTGTGTTTGATGTGTTGCAAGAATCAGAAGAAAAGCTGTCATCCAAAGCCATCGCAGAACATCTGGGGAGCAGCCTCCATGGAATGGAGAGACTGCTGGATGCCTGTGTGGGTTTGAAGCTCCTAGAAATAGAAGTGAGCAAAGAAGGAGGTAACACAGCTACGTTGAAGGTGTTCTAGAGAACATGTGCAAACTATCACCATTCAATAATTCAACAGGTTCCATTGTCTGCAGTGGGAATCTTAGATGCCCTATTAAAAACCATTCTGCATATTGTGACAACAATAGGCTAGAATAATCCACTGGCTTCCCAAGGTGCTATTCATGGGATAGTCATAGGAAAAGAAAGTCATTTATGTAAAGGAGGTACCCTTCAAGAACATAGTATGTGCTGGGGTAAGGAGTCTCCATGTCCTCTGGCTTTCTCCTGTTTGTGATGGTGCATTTGGTCATTTGCAATTTTCAGTACAGATGGTCCATGTTTAGAAATTACTTGTTCAGTAACTAATTCACCTTCATTTGTGTTCGGTAACCATTCAGATTTACAATGATGCTGAACAAGTGGTAGCTACAACTGGACTTTGTTCTGAAAACCATCACAGTTTCCCTGTGGTCACATGATCACGATCTAGACAGTCAGTACTTGACTCATGATTATGACACTTCAGCAAGCTATGGTCACATTATGCAAAGGCAATGGATAAATCAACAGGAAGTTGCAATTGTAAGGTCCTCACTTAGCAATGGCAAATGGGGCCGCAGGAATGGGTCTATGACAATTCGCTACAGCCAGCTCGGCATGACCAACCTGCTACCATCAACTCACCATGGCCAATTTGCTGCAGGACAAGTCACCATGGCCATCTCACCACAGGACAAGTCACTGTGGGATAAGAGTTACACTGATGTCAAAGAAATGGTGGAATAGAATCAAAAAAGAAAGGGTGCAAATGGAGGCTCAGAATGAAATGTGAATGGCAAAAATTAAAATTATTTTTATTTTTTAAAATAATTAAATAGAATTGTTAAATTCTATTGTCTTGCAATGAGTTGGCTGTGGCAAGTTGGTTGTGGCAAGTTGTCCCATTCCCTCTGGAACTGCCATCACTAAGTGGTATGGTCACATGATTTTTTTCAACTTACAACTGCATTGCTTAACAATGGAATTTCTTTTCCCAATTAATATAGATAAATGAGACTTATCAATATGTCACTAATCACTGAATTTCTCCCTAGAGAAACGTCTAGAGAATATAAGTGATACAATATCTACATCGATTAAAAAGAGAGATGAAATCGAGACTATTTCGCTTAATGTTTAATAAAAGCAAAAATCAGGGTTTCTTAACTATCAAATTACTGGTCAGTTTTTAAAAAAAATACTTGTCATAAACCAAAGTGAGCTGATATACTCTTGGGTGTGTTTGATGTGTTGCAAGAATCAGAAGAAAAGCTGTCATCCAAAGCCATCGCAGAACATCTGGGGAGCAGCCTCCATGGAATGGAGAGACTGCTGGATGCCTGTGTGGGTTTGAAGCTCCCTCTGAGAAATGTGAAAAGTCTATTTTGCTTCTTTTTAGAGTTACTTTGGGTCCTGTTCTGTCATGCACCTTACAGCAGTTTTAGAGTTCCATGTGCAACTCATAACTGCCCATAATTTCTCATTGTCATATATACTTATACAAACAAAATGCTCAAGCAAGAAACCCTTAATCATAGCCATCATAAATACAGCCACTTAATGAGTATATCAACCTGTTTATTTGATGCAAAGCAGACCCTGTTGAGAGAATGCAATAAAAAAAATCTGAAACAGAATTGTGTGATCACATTACTTTTGCTGTTAAAATGATATTTTTTGCCTGTGTTATATCAGTTTCCATTATTTTCTTTCTAGCTTTTTATTGCAACACAGAAATCTCTGAGCAGTTTCTCACAAAATCAAGTCCAAAGTCTCAGTATCATACCTGCATGTATTACTCGAAAACAATTTATCCTTGCTGGCAGTACTTGACAGAAGCTGTAAGGTGAGATGGACAATATGAAATCTTATGCAGTCAAAACTCCATTAAAAAAAAACAGATCCTACCCATTAGTATGAATATTTTCTTCAGAAAAAATAAAATTGAATAAATCTGGTTACTGCTGTTTCCAAAGGAGAAAACACGGCAGTATTAATTGTTAACACAGGACTGCTTTTTCAAATGGCAATCGGACTTTGTTTTCCTTGAAGACATTTTACTTCTCCTCCAAGAAGCTTCTTCAAGGGAAAACAAATACCAGTTGCCTTTTGAAAAAATGCACCTTTGGGACAAGCAGGACCTGGATGGCTGAGAATCTTCAAAGGAAGGACTGCTATATAAAAATGATAGGCTACTTCTTTCTGTTCAATACTACACATGCAAAATGGGGGAACTAGCATATTCTTAACAGTTTAGAAGAGAAACTTAATGATGGTGCAAGGAAGCCCCAGTTAAGACCAGTTAAGATTACTGGTCTTAAAAACAGAATTTGCAGAGAAAATCTTAATTAAGATAATTAACTATGAGGGTCGTGCACATAAGCATATGTTGTTAATGTTGAAAAAAATAAGATCAAGCTTTTTTAGTTAATGGGAAATAAATGGCTTTACTGACATCAGTGCCTTTGTTTTGTTTTGTTTTTGTTTTAACCGAAATGAGATAAAGGTTATTTTGAAGGATTACAATTTCAATATGGAGAAAAGGACGGAGAGAGAGAGAGAGAGAGAGAGAGAGAGAGAGAGAGAGAGAGAGAGAGGGAGGAGGGGGAAGAGAGACTTAATAGGAAAGCATAGAAACAAATCTTCCACTATCAACTACACAGATTTTTTAAAATCAAAAATAAAATCACAATCACTTTTGTGAAATATAACATGAGAATGTTTGCTTTATTTTAGTTTTATATAAAATTTGCATTTATCTTTAAAAAGGTACAGAATAGCATGGCTTGAACACTCTTGAGCTACATTGCATATAGTATATATGTATGTGTTTATGAAAGATGGACATATTCTGAAATATGTTAGGCTTGATAATATATTTTTGCACCTGCAAATTTTGTCACCCTAGAGTCAGAGAGAGTAATAGCTTGCAGAAAACAGCACAGATGTGGACTTCAGATTTCATCACTGTAAAGTTCAGTGCCTGGCCACAAATTGCTTATCTAACACTCTTATATACTTGAGCTTTGATCGGTGTAAATGTAATGCACACAATTCATAACTTGAATTATTTGAAGGCCAAAGGTACATTTGTATGATTGTGGGATTTTTTCAAGTTAAGCTCTTCCTTAAAATATTTTGCTCATTTATAGTCCCATCTGTGTATGAGATGGTCTGCTAGATTTAATGGCTCTCATTCCCATATGTGTTTGTTTGAGACTATACACTTGGGTTTTAATTAACTGTGGGACAGAGAAATGTATTACGTGCAATATTAGAAGGATTTAAAGAATCCTTGACATGTTTCTTAACAATAGTTCCCTATACAAGTATAGCAACAGTGTTGGTTGCTATACATGATTAATAGTTAAGCTGTCTGAATTTGATCCAGTGGTGCACAGAATTGTGTCCACACATGCAATGTAGACAACAACATGAGCAACTGTTGATGGAGTAGAATAAAAACTAAGATTGTGCCTATTTTCCCCACAACTCCTGAACAGATGACTGACAGAGGTAGCTCTTACTGTTGAATCCCAGAGAAACATTCTTTATTTGTACCTGCTTCAGTGGGTGATGGGAGAATTCCCTTTGGCTTAATTAAGAATAAAGTTGGCAATTGCCAACATTATTTTTCAGCAGTCATGTGGAAAAGGCACCTGTTTTTCTAACAGCTTTCTTCTGCCTTAAACAAAAAAATAGCACAACTTATCATTCTGTGTATAGGAGCCTCACCTTATTTTCGCTTGGGAACAATATTTCCCAGCAATATCTAAATCAGGTTATTCAACCAGTTTAAGATTTCAGGATGAATATATGTTTGCATCTCTGCCTGAAGGAGCAGGGGAAAAATATATCTGTGTCCAAAATGCAACATGCTTCCAGAGAAACATATGAGGGTTCGTATGAACAACAGATAAAGCCTTAGCTCAGAAGAAGCAGAGATATCCCACTGCAAGCATATGGTCCCTGTTATATAGTATTCACTGACACACATCACTGATTGTCAAGTGATGTGACTCTGTAAATTTCTATGGGTAATAATGGAAAACCCTCCACAAACACTTGCATACAATCCATTGTCTTCAAGCAATGGTATGTTTTTAAAATTCCTGGCACAGCATTCAGCATGAATGTTTTCTGAAGGTCAATAGAACTACATAACTTTAACTTGAAAAGCTGCCAGACATCCAAAGATGTTGTTTTCCTCCCTAAGGGAAGGCAAGAACCAGTACGAGAGAGCATTTGGCATTTCCCCGAAAGCTGTTTTTGAAGCTCTGTACAGGTAAAGCTCCAAACAATAATATTAAAAAGAAAGCTGCAGATATTATTAATTTAAAATCCTCTTGTATTGTTTATTTCTTGTTCATTTAAATGCCGTTCTTTTTATGGAAAACAAGGCTGTTGTTAAGATCCATTAAAATATCAGATATACAACATAACCATCAAATTAGTTTATAGTGTGTTTGTATAGTTTTTATAAAGCAAATATCCATAGCTGTATTGTCTTTTTAAGAAAAAATCCTGCATTTGAGGAGAATCTAGCTCCTTCATTGGTTAGAAGAATCAATTCATACAAATTCTTCCATCTGAAAAAGGATGTGCAGAAGACTCAACAAATCTATCCAGTTGTTAATCTGACACGTTTCTCCATTGAGTATTGAAGCATATCCAAGCCTTTAATTAGAAGGACGGTATTAAAACAATCAGCTCATGCATGTTATAATATTTGTTCTTGCTCTGTAATGCTAATGCTTTTGTGATCTTTACTATCTAGATCAGAAGACGAAATGCTGAAATTCATGTATGGCTTGAATGCAATTTGGAGCCTATGTGGCAGAGATGTTATAGCCGCATTTGATCTCTCCCCTTTCACTATGATTTGTGATCTTGGTGGTAAATTCCTTAATAATGTTTCCCTCCTGATTAAAAATACAGACAATACAATATTTAGCCCTTTGCTCTTTTTTTGGGCAGGGGGAACAGCTTTATCTTTTAGGTATAGACTTATTAAACATAGTAAAAAGTGGTTGCTGATTTTATAGTTTGGCTGTAAGCAGTGATATATTAACCATTAAGCAAACTAAGCACATGCTTAGAGCACCAGGTCCAAGGGGGCACCACAAAGTTGAGTAAGGAAAAAACCCCAATGAAGATTTGTATAGTATGTACAAAGTAGGGGGGCACCAAGATTTGTCAGCCCTTAGGGCACCAGTGAGCCTTAATCCGCCACTGGCTGTAAATTCTGAGTTGCAAGCAACATAAACTCAGTCTTTCTGATACAACTTTTTCCTGTAAAATAGCAAATTAGTATTTAGTTATACTCTGTTTTATGGTACACCATCGTCTCTCAGGTAAACAGAGTACTGACCAGCTTTTACATCATTTATTACATTATCTTAAATTCAAAACAATAAAAACAATTGCAATTCTGTCTCTAAAATATAAAACGAACACACAATTCACATGTAAAATCTTCGTACTGAAATAATGCTTCCAATCATGTATAACTTATTGCTTTTCTGCTGATAGGAGTTGTTGCATCCAAGATAAAAAATAAGTATTTGAGACAAATGTTTGTTATGTATGGTTGAAAACTTATTTTATTTTCTTTCAAAAGGAGGTGCTGGGGCTTTGGCCCAGGAATGTGTTTCACTATATCCAGATTGTACAGTCACTATTTTTGACCTTCCTAAAGTAATCCAAACAGCCAAGAAGCATTTTGTACCTCTAGAGAAATATCGGATCAATTTTTATGAAGGTTGGTATAGTTGTTTTGGAGAAAAAGGAAAGGCGTTTCTTACTAAATACTTTCTTCTCTATAGAATAAGGTTAGGATATTTATGAATGCATTGCCTTCTGAATTGTCCTCCTGATGGCCATGAGTCAGGGATCAGAGCCATAGGTGGAAATGACTGCCTCTTATTCCCTTGTGCCCCTCAGCTTATTTCCTTTCTAGGTTCAGGAAATGGACACTGAGTCCATTCTCTTTACTTCCAGGGAGTACAAAGCATCTCCTTTCTCTGCAGAGAAACAACATGAGGTATTTCCTCAATGGAGTCAGGAGTTAGACCCAGGGAAGAGCCTTTCCCTCAGTCACATAGATTGAATGTGACATTTTATGATGATGCGGGAATGACTTTGGGAGATGGGAGGAAAACAGTTGCCTAGGCAATGAGTCTTTCTCTTGTCTCCCAAGGTCATTACCACATACCATCACCCATTCGGATTCAAGGCTACTTGATGCTCTAGAAAGTACTTTAAAAAGTGAGCCTTTTACTTTCTTAGCCTCAATTTCACTTTAATTCAGTAAATGTATTTGAATTTGCTGAATGTTCTGAATACATAAATATTTAAAAATTACCATTATTTTTTCTCAACATTAAAATTTAGACAATGGGTATTCGCTTCTAAAGCCAAATAGAGATAATTCAACCTTGGGAATCACAGAGGTTTTGCTTTAGCTTGACACTTCTTCCACAGAGAAAACTGTTCTTTCAGATAAGCAAGACAGATGTTCCAATTAGTTTACATTCTAGCCTCTGTGTGTGTGTGTGTGTGTGTCTGTGTGTGTGTGTGTGTGTGTGTAGTCATAGAATGGATCCCACTTGATAAGAAGCATCCACGAAAGCGACCCTAAACATGATGGATGGGTGACATCAACAAGTATTGCTGGCCTAAACAGCAAAAGAAAGCTCAGGACTGCATGATTTGGAAACATGCAGAAGAAACCTTCATCCTGCAAATCAATATTCACTAATGAGTTTTTTTCCCTTTAATTTTTTAACAGGGGATTTTTTTAAAGATCCTCTTCCAGAAGCTGAGTTGTATATTTTAGCAAGGATCCTCCATGATTGGTCAGATGAGAATTGTGTACAACTTCTCACAAAAGTGCAAAAGTCTTGCAAAACTGGTATGTACATGATAATAACCTCACTTATGTTTTATACAGTTACACATTGTATTTTTATACACATTCGAGGGTGTCAAAAACATTTCTATGACACTGTTTCATGTATGGCATTTCCCAGTCCTTAAATATCTTCACATGTAGAATAAACTGTTGCAGAAAATTTGTCCCAAACAGTTATAAACCTGTAATGAGGGAAGATAATACTGGACATGATTTTTTTTTTAAATATTCCAATCAGGTGGTGGTGTTTTACTAATTGAAACTCTTCTGAATGAGGATAAATGTGGCCCATTGGAAAGTCAACTCTATTCGCTAAATATGCTCGTTTACACAGAAGGAAAAGAAAGGTCACCGGCAGAATATAGCAAGCTCCTCACAGCAAGTGGTTTCAAGGAGATCGAAATTAAAAAATCTGGAAAACTCTATGATGCCATTTTAGGAAGAAAATAATGCTTTCTTTTTGCTTTATTAAATGCAAACAAAGTGAGATAATATACTTGGTCTCAATTGTGAAAACACAATTGGTTTTAATGAAACACAATTGATCTAAATGCCATTACAGAACAGAAATTATAGTATTAATAACAGTCTAAAAAAATTACATTTTTCACTATTGATGGGCTTAATGAACGTGTAAATAAGCGTAGAGAGATACCTGTTCAGGCTTTTTTTGTTTATTTTTCTTTCAAATAGGTTTTGCAAAAGAAATTATGCATATTTTCAGCTATTTCCTGAAGTTATTAATGTCATGTAATATTAGAGTTTCCTTCATACGATGATGCTGAGAGATAGTTATGGAATATTAAGTTTAGTTGGAAAAACTGCACAGAGCCCTTAAGCCACAGCAACAGAACTTCAGAAACAAAAACTGGAATTCTAAGACCAAAAAATGCTAAATGAAATATCTTTCCCCCTTTTTAGACTAGCCCAGTTCTGAAATAATGGTGTGTGAGATTCATTTTATGTAAGGGGAAACTTGGTAATAAAATGTAAAATTAACAGTACTTTGAGTCTGGGGATTAACTTGATTAATTCAATATATTTATTGTATATTCAGAACTCCCCCCCCAAAAACCCATCCCACCCTGCTTTAGTTTCTATTTGGTAACAATGTCTCACAGTGTAACAGAACTTTACTAGACTTCTGATGTCTATAAATCTATGATATCAATTTTATGGAATACAAATCCCTCCTTCAATTGGTTGAAACATTGTAATCAATAATCAGAATTGAGGTGGAAGGGACCTTGGAAGTCTTCTAGTCCAACCCTTTGCCTACATTTCAGATAGGTGGCTGTCCAGTCTTTTCTTTAAAATCCCCAGTGAGGAAGCGTCTACAACTTCTAAAGGCAAGTTGTTCCATTGGTTAATTGTCTTGTTAGGAAGTTTCTTCTTAATTCCAGGTTGCTTCTCTGCTTGATTAGTTTCCATCCATTGTTTCTTGTCTTGACTTCTGGTCCTTTGGAAAATAAGTTGACCCGCCCTCTTATTTGTGGCACCCTGCCCCTAAAATACTGGAATACTGTCCTACATCTTCTTTTCTCTAGAGTGGCCATACCCAATAAGGGGAGGGTTGCTGCCGACATTACTGCTAGTTCAGCATGCAAATTTTTTGCTTGCGCATGCTCACTTCACTTGCATGCTTGCCAAACTCATGTTCCATGTGCCTGTGCATTTGCACCTAAAAAGTTATGTGCATGCGCAAAACATTTTAAAAGGGGAAAAAACATTTCGGCAATGAAAATTGTTCTGTGCATGTGCAGAACTGAAAATCAAAATGGTGCCGCTGTAGGAGAACTGGTTTGGGGGCATGGCAGGCCTGAGTCGCTGTCGTTCCAGCAACCCAGGCCACCAAGTTACTACCGGTTCGGCCGAACCGGGCCAAACCAGTAGGAACCTATCTCTGTCCCAGTTCTTACATCCATTCTTCATATGTTTTTGTCTCCAGGCAAATTATCTTAGTTGCTCTTCTTTGTTCTTTTTCCAAAGTCTCAATATCTGTTTTGTAATGTGATAACCAAAACTGGATGTAATATTCCATGTGTAGTCTTACTAAGCCTTTATAAAGCAGTACTAATACTTCATGTGATTTTGATTCTATGCCTCTGTTTATAGAACTGTTTGTTTTAGCTTTTTTGGCAGTGGCGGCATATTGCTGGCTCTTGTTTAAGTGATTGTCCACTAGGACTCCAAGTTCCCACTCACAGTTTCTCTTTTTGAGCCAGGTTGTGCTTTTTTTAAAAAAATTATTAACAAACATGTAAAATACACACACACAAAACTTAGATGTACACCACATTTACACAATATAATACAAACTGTTCTTTCTAATAGCAATTATCAATCTCTACCGCTCACCTTATATTATTTCCCCTTCTATTGTATTTCATTTGGATTTCACCATTCTTAACCCTCTTATTTTACTCATAACTATTATTTTTTGAGTTTTGTTATATTCCTTCATTGATTCTTGTTTCTTCCCTCCATCCACCTATACCATTTATCCCATATCTGGTAGAATTCTGATTCTTCTTTTCCCTGGATTTCTTTAGTTAGCTTGTCCATTTCAGCACAATCCATACACTTTCTTATTATTTCATCTTCACTTGGAATTAATTTGTTTTTCCATTTCTGGCCAAAGGCAATCCTTGCCGCCATAATTATATGTAGTATTAAATACTGGATTTCATTTTGTATTTCGCAGACATTATTCCTAATTAAAAAAAATACTTCAGATTTCCATTCTATTTTAACCCCTGTTATTGCCTCCAGCCAATTTTTGATCCTTTTCCAAAAAAATTTAGCCTCCTCACAGGTCTACCATAAATGGTAATATGTTCTGTGTATTGATTCACATTTCCAACATTTTGGGGAGGTATTTGTTAAGATTTTAGCTAACCTTGTTGGTGCCAGGTACCATCTGTAAAACATTTTGTACTGGTTTTCCTTGTATGCAACTGATAGTGTCATTTTTAAGTTTGTTCCCCCCAATTTTTCCCATTTGTCTAATTCAATATTATAGCCAAAGTTCTGCGCCCATTTTATCATTTGTTCTTTCACAATTTCCTCTTCCATTTTATACTTCAGGAGGAATTGGTATATTCTCCCTATCATCTTTCTATCTGAGCTTTGAATAATTTTATCAATCCGTGTGGTTCTGTTTCGATGTCATATAATTTAGTATCTTTATTGTATTTAGTTTTGATTTGGAGGTAAGTTAGCCAGTCAACTTTCATGTTATGGAGCTAGGTTGTGCTTAATATGTACTTGTACCTTTAGTTTTCCTTGCCTAGGTGTAAAACTTTGCACATTAAATTTCATGTTGTTGGGTAGGGCCCAGTGTTCAAGTCTGTCAATCTTTTTGAGCTTTTCTTCTAGGGTGTGGACCATTCCTGCCAGCTTAGTATCATCTGCAAATTTGATGAGTTCCTCTTCTGCTACCTCATCTAAGTCATTTATGAAGATATTGAAGAGTACTGGGCCTAAGACAGAATCTTGTGGTACCCCACTGCTTCTTTCCCTCCATGTAAATGTAGTACCATTAATGGCTACATGTTGAATTTGGTTTGTCAGCCAAATACAGATCTGGTGGTGATGCTGTCTATTTCACCATTTTCTAGTTTACAGGAAGTAGGTTGTGGTCTGTTTGTAAAATGCCTTGCTGAAGTCTAACTATACTATGTCCACAGCATTTCGCTGGTCTAGTAAATTAATTTTCTTTGTCCTGAATTTCTTTGTCCTGAACCAATTATGAGGAATTTATTTTTGTCTGCATGTAAACCTGCGCATATATGATCATACACAGAGTCATATAAAGAGAGAAATGGTTAGCAGAAAGGTATAAAAACCTGGGCAAGAGTGCCTGATCATTGAGGCAGTAGGATTTGAGTCTTCTATTAATGAGAGTTTTACAGAACAAATGTTATCTTGGCCCTTAGATGGTGCTGTTATACTATACTTCAACCCTTGGTGGCTGCTAGTTCCAGCAATATGCTCCTCTATTAATGTTGTAGAATTCCACAGGTTGAGGTCAAGTTATTCAGATGCAAAGCAGGTGGTGGAATCTACCAGCTTCTTGATGTTGCAGTGAAAATATTCCATTACTATAAAATATTTTCTTGTGTGTATGAAATGTCATCCCATAAATAAAAAATCATTCTGTTTAAGCCGGACAATTAACTTTTTTCAGGTTTCAATTCTAATCATGTAACAATTTTTCCATCCATATTTTGAATATTAAATAACTTGGGTTACTTTATTTGATGTAGAGGATTATCTATAATCTTCTGGATCTACTGCAACATGAACATTGCTTATCTTTGCTTTTGTCTGGGATATTATTAAACACTCCCTCTCTGTCATCATTAGCAAAATGATAAAGACTTTTTAAAAAATATATCTGAACAACTTGAATTAAGCTACTTGTCAAACATTAAACCCTACTCATAAATAAGAATTACTGTGGAAATCTTTTTAAAAGACTGTCATGTCTTTAGCTCAGCAATGGCTCTTTTAGATTTGACCATTACGTGCGCCTCAAACAATTCCTCCTTCAAGTTTGTTTTAAGTTGAATCCAATTTGGGTTGGTTGCCAGCACCAGAGGTTTAATCTTCCAAGCTTTCGGGCTGGTGCTGGAGCCCATCCTCAGGGAACTTCTTTCTAATTAGAAAGTGTCTTAGGCTGATTCCATAAAGGGCATGTTGGAGTCAGACAGCATTCAGATCAAATGAATGAATAAATAGGTATTGCTTCATAATTCAATTACGGTCATCCACTGAATTTTGATATGATTATATGATTTGAAATAGTATGTTCAGGAAATTTACTTAAAATGATAGTCTGCAATAAAAAGAAATAAGATACTGCAGAATGGTTCAAGAAAGTTCTGATCAAGAATAAGATAGAGAGATAAAATTCCAAGGGCCAGAAATATGTTAACGCCTCAGATAAATTGGAAACTGCAGAGTGTGAAATCTAAGATTAAAAGCCTCAGGCATTATTTTTACCTTGCACAGCACATTTTTTCATTCCAGGAGTCTCACATCAAAAGATATTTGGCGACTGTTCAAAATCTGTGCAATCTATTTTCATGCAGTTCTTTAAGAAAGTATCGTAAGTTATGCAACTCTATTTCCATTCAATTCCAACAATTGCATAGAGCACTACAACTGACGCATTTTCTGAAAAATGATAAATAGCTGCCAGCTTGTCTCTCAAAAGAAAGGGTTGCAATTGTCTGTAGGAAGTTTGTAGTTTCAGGTCTCACGAATGCCAGTAATCTTTTGAATGTATCCTTCTTACAACAATTTGATATAAATCACTGTAACTTGTTAGTATCTGAAGTCCATTTATCTAGGTAATCTAAGATTATCGTTATAAAGAAGAAATCCAACAGTTGAATATTTTCTCTCCAAACCTTCTCTAGAATTCTAAGAACAAGGTCTAACTGCTAACTTGGAACATAGAACATATAATATCAGAGTTGGAAATGACTTTGGAGGTCTTCTAGTCCAACCCCTGCAAACGTATCTGAAGTATATTTGTAGATGATCAGCCACTATGTATTATACATTGTTTACTTCTATGTGACAGTGTTCACAGAAATATGTAAATTAAGAACATTCATTTAAAACATTGATCTGAAAATGTGGCAACCATTACTGTATGCCAACATGAATTATTCAGGAATTTCAGCATTAGAATTCTGAATATTTGTATTACTGACTTGAATTCATACAATTCTAGATTTGAAACTGTACAATAAGACAATTGGCCATAAGAATCCAAATTAAACTATACCTAAAATGCTATTCAGAACAAATTGATAAATGGAATGTTTACTAGATTTTAAGATGACAAAAATGAGGAGGGTAATACTTAGAAGAGAAAATGAATCCAGAATGATCTTCAGAAAATAGAAAAAGAGGCAAGTCCTTGACCTGCAGCAATTCATTTAGTGACCATTCAAACTTACAACAGCACTGAAAAAGGTGACTTATGACC